GTGATATCAGGACTGTGCATACAGCTGTGAATAATGTGTCGATAACCACATTGGGTACAATTAAATCATGCATACGAATACATGGAGAAAGTAACCCAAGATGTGGTGACGCCATGACCTTTATAGCAACAACACACATGATAGACATTTTACACGTAATATACATCGCTATAGATTCCCAAAAAGACAACGGTTTGATTATCGGGAATTGACCGGAGGCTTCAGCACAACGGACGGTGCTAAAGACTACACAGAGAGAGAGAGAGGCAAGGCAGGGGCACGTAAATAAATACGCCCGTCTCTGAAATTATAACTCTAAACTATAGATGTATATTATTTTACCAGGTAAGGCCCACTGAGCTATACAGCTCTTTTTCAGAAGCTACCTGGCCACAAATGATAGCTCAACGAAGTGGCTTTTTAATTGGAAATTTATAGCGGCCAAATACTCTAAACGCATGTTGATTCTAAAATGTGGACGGAAAAAATCGGAGGCCCCGGAGAAAAATCCACGTGGCCAGGGGAATAAGAGACGCGCAAACTTCAAATATACAGCAGGCATCAGGTCGGGATCGAACCCACGACCTCCTGTATACCTGGCGAGGAAGTTAACATCTCTTCGCCACCGTGATGATGATGAGAGAGAGAAACGCAAACGTCAAATATAGAGCAGGCGTCAGGGTCGGGATCGAACCCACGACCTCCTCCCCGTGTACCGGAACGTGATGTATGCCTCCTCGGCCGCCTCGGTTGCTATCTCTTGCTCAAACAAAAACAAGCGACGACCTGGAATGACGTCAGTGCCGATCTATAAAAGGTCGTGCGCGCTGCAAGGCGCGGGGGTTTGCGTGGCAGAGAAGAGGGAGAGAGATGAGAGGGAGGGAGGGAGCTGGAACGGTTTTTTAAATAAAAAAGAAAACCTCACCCTACGAAGGGAGAGAGATTTGTTGCTTCTAGAAGCTGGGCCATTCATTGATTGAAAGCGAGCCACGGTGCCGTTGACACGGGACACAAAGCGACCCGGTCATTAGCATTCACTGCGTGTGAGCCGCCTTCCCCTGGCCGTGGCTCGGACCGCGCTAAAGATGGGGATTGCGTGTGTGCGTGTGAGCCTCCGGGGCGTGGGAGTGAGTGAGTGCGCATCTCCGTGTAGCGAGCAAAAAGGCAATGCACGTTAATACAAAGACAAAGGTGCTCACCCCCCCCCCCCTGTATAGCCTTTTACACACTCATAATCAACGTTTTTGGGTTTAGATCGCGTTATTTATAAATGTGTCGTAACCCTCCACCACCCGACACGGCCAATCAGTAAAAAAGTGTCACGTTGACAAAAGACAAATAGTTCACTGCTTTAGCCCACCGGTGTGTTGAAGCCAGAACATTTACAATTTGAGTACGACGTTTCGCTGGTAATTGCATCCAGCATCATCGGACAATTCGCCAGAATTGCATCCAGCATCATCGGGCAATTCGCCAGAATTGCCCGATGATGCTGGATGCAATTACCAGCGAAACGTCGTACTCAAATTGTAAATGTTCACGCTTCAACACACCGGTGGGCTAAAGCAGTGAACTATTTGTCTTTTGTCAACGTGACACTTTTTTACTGATTGGCCGTGTCGGGTGGTGGAGGGTTACGACACATTCATAAATAACGCGATCTAAACCCAAAAACGTTGATTATGAATAACATTGGTCGCGAAAGCCTGCTACGTGTTAAACTTTTACACACTGTTCGGGCAAGTGCTGTTAGCGAGCACCTCTGAAAGCCGGGACCAGCGCACGAGGGGGTGTATGGCCAACACCACGCCCGGCCCCCTTTGTCTCCCCAGCGCTGATGTTTACACACCGCAGTAGGTACTCATTTAACGCTGAGTAGACCTAGGGGAGGTTCGGTTTTTTGGTCGTGAGCTCAGGAATCGAACTCGGGTTTCCCGGTTCGTAGCGCAGTGCGCTACCAACTGCGCCACTGCCTCCCGCATTCACACACACACACACACAAGTGCGTATATTATTTGGGTCTTTCGGTAAAGTCACGTAGATGGTTCAAAGAAAATAACAAAAAACTACGACGTTTCGATCGCAGCACGAGCGCTTGTGTTGTGATCGAAACGTCGTAGTTTTTTGTTATTTTCTCTGAACCATCTACGTCACTTTACCGAAAGACCCAAAGAATATGAATTCCTGCAGTCACGAAAGCTTTAAGTCAACAAGTACGCATGCATGTATGCGTATACAGTCACGATCTCACGTATACACACACACACGCAGGGATTAACATTTCCCTTTCGATATATCACTCGAAACGCAGCTAGGCTGGCTTGGAGTTGGGATTATTGGCGTAGAGTTGAGTTTGTAGGTGGAGACAGCACCAGCTGAGCAATTACAGACATCTTCTTGGTTCTTTCGGTAAAGTCACGTAGAAGGGAAATACTAAAATAATAAAAATAAAACATAATAAAATAATTCTCACGACGTTTCTGTCTCATCGAGAGTCTGACTCTGTCTCCTCGACAGACCTGTTCTCCACCTGAGGACGGCTACTTGCGTTGTGGCCGAAACGTCGTGAGAATTATTTTTTTATCTTTTATTTTTATTTTTTTATTATTTCCATTCTACGTGACTTTACTGAAAGAACCAAGAAGATGAATCCCTGCAGTCACGAAAGCTTTAAATAGAAAATTACGGACATGTGCAGTTGTTGGAGTGGTGGCGCAATGGTTAATCGCATCGCGCTATGAAGTCGGCGAACTAAGTGAGATTCCAGGTCTCGGCTGACATGAGTGGAGCGTTATATCCTGGCGCTCTCCCCCCACCCCCTATAACTCCGTCATCAACCACCGTGGTGAGGTAAGGGGCCATCCATTTAGTACGTACGCATGGAGAGGGGAGGGGCGTTAACCCAAATGCGTACGCTTGCGTATAGGGGGGGTCTACTGACAATGTCCGCATAGGGAACGGGCGGGGGGGGGGGTGAAGCCTAGATAATAATTTGTCTACATTGGCCTTCAAATGAGTTAGATAGTCCGGCGGTGTTGACTGTTTGCTTAAACACGTTAATATGATTAATCCTTGATCGTTTTGCAGTGGATTAAATACCGGCCGTTCTATAAGATTCGGGAGGGGGGAGGGGTGGGGTTCAAGCGAACGTACGCAGGTTGGGGGGGTAGAAAGTCCGCGTGCGTACAGGGAGGGGGGGGGGTCAAGTTTTGACAGATTTTTTTGCGCACCTACTCAATGGATGGGGCCCCATCGTAAGACAATCCCCACGATCGTCACGGCGTGGCGTGGGGGAAGCTTTCGTCCAGTCGACTGACGATTTAGTTGTAAATGATTAATTATTAATTACATTGCAGCGATGTAATGGTTGTCTCCAGCATTGAGATGTAATTCATGGATTGTGTTATACTGTAATTGAAGTTTCCAGGAGCATATAACTCAGCCTCATCTGTAAGATTGACCTGGGTCAGAACGATGACCAATAACCCCAAAGACAAAACTAAAACGTTATCTCATAGGAGAAATGCAAATATTCCATCCAAATAGTACATTTAGTGCCGTGCCGTATGTGCAAACGTGGTGGTGCAGCCCTGCAACTGCCTGCTAATGCCACTATCGGGAGCTTTAGAGATCCTCCGTCGGAGATATGTGTGCCTACTCTCCCACCTTTATGTTGTAAATGTACACGTATTGGACACTTCAATATTGCTGAATGCATATTTGTTATCCACACCTATCATCAATCCACAACGGTGTAATATACTATATTTATATATGGCTCCACGTGTATACATTATTGATTAAATCCACCTATCACACCGGTCTGGGAGGAGATACAACCATGTCTGTTGCACTGTTGTACGATAAACTACAATGCAAAGGTGAATTTCTCTCCAACTGAACAATCCAATTACAATGCTTAATGAGTGATTGAGGATTATGCTAGGGTAAGTTTTTATTGCTACAGTACTAATAGTAGCATTACATATTGTTGTTTTTGTTCAGTACATTATTTTGATAATAAATATACCACGCAATTTTAAACGACGGTGGGCAATGATTTGCAATCGTGGTCAAATAATAAACACGTAGACTAATAATGAAGGTTTAGTAGACCGCTTTAGAAAGTTTACGTACAGTCCGTGTGAATGGTTCTCCAGTTCCGAATGCGAGATCTGATCTGGCTCTCTCGTGTAAGGATAACGGGGGGAGGTGTTGGGGTGAAACGAGTGGGACCAGCATTGCGATTGACGCCTCCACGAATCGCGACGGTGAATATAGCGGCCTCTAGCGGCTGCGGGAGATCACGCCAAAAAACCCTTCCTTCCCCGTGGGTCGCATGCAACACGTACGATGTGGGGGGGGGGGCGAGCGCGCCTCCCTCTTCAGCGGCGATTCGCTTGCGTCTAGCGAAGCGTGGAGCCACCGAAGAGGATGTGGGGGGGGGGGAGGTAACCCCCCCCCCACTTCCCACCCACCCCCTCGTTTTACCCTCAACCCCCCCCACTTCCCACCCACCCACCCCCTCGTTTTACCCTCAAACGACACCCGTCTTGCGGGCTTGGGATCAGCCCGTAGGTAAATCATTGGCGCGCCTACCCGCCCCCCCCCCCCCCCGCTATATAAAGGCGCAATCAGGGCTGAGCGAAGGGGTTGGGATGGGCTTTGTGCTCATGGAGCGGCCGCTTGAACGGAGAGGGCGTTGAGACATCCCAGCGCGCGCCGCTCCTCCACTCGAAGCTTCGTCACACGCCGCTAAAAGCGAACCGAGGCGGCTGTCAAAACAAAAACACTCAGAAAACACAACAACAACAACAGCAAAAACTAAGAAAGAGCCTGTCCCACCGCCTGCGCGCATTGCCTGCGGGGAGCGACACTAAACGGCTCCGTTATTCGCTGGAGGAGGCGACGGCGGCGACGCGCGGTCCAAGTTACTTAAGGCGCAAACTCGGCTGCTGTGGTGGGAGGAGGAGAGGAGGTGGTGGTGGGATATTGGCGGCGCAGGCGTGCGTCTGTGTGCGGGTGATTGGGTGGGCAGGGTCCCACCACCATCATCATCATCACCACCGCCGCCGTCGTCGTCATTCATCATCATCTCCTGGTCGGCTGTGGATCATGCCTGTGGAGACGACTTTTATAAACCCATTTTTCTTCTACCCCGAGTTTTCGCACCAAGACGCGAGCCGCGGGGCCGTGGGAGGGTCGTGGCCGGAGGGCTCGCCCGAGATTTACGCCGAGTACTCGGAGCTGGCCGACACGACCGACCTGCTGAGCTTCGTCAACACGGCCTCCAGCAACATCAAACTTGCGCTCGACAAGCCGGCCAAGTCCAAGCGGAAAGTCAACCACAGGAAGTACCTGCAGAAGCAAATCAAGCGCTGCTCCCAACTCACTGCGGTGCCCGTGCCACCCCCACCTCATCATCATCATAATCATCATCCTCTGCTACTACCACCACCACCGGCCGTTCCTCCATCTCCTCTTCAAGCCACCACAGAGCAGCAACAAAGCAGGGGACTCCTCTGCCTGGAAGACGACGATGACGATCACCTGGATCGGGTGTACGTGGCCAGCGAAGGGGCTGGGCTGGCGTCGCTCGCGGAGGCGGCGAGGGACGGCAATGTCCTGCAGGGACACGCGGCTCAGTTCCGAAGAATCTCCGCCAAGTCCCCGAACGACAAGAGGCCCAGGCTGTCTCGCTCCGTGGCGCGGGGCAGGCAGCTGCCCCTGAGGGACCGCAATCTGCCCGCGTCCTTCTTCACCGAGCCGGCCGCGCTCGTGACCCACCTCGACCAACTTGAGCATCACCACCACCACCATCAATCAACAACAACAGCAGCAGCAGGCCGACTGTGCGGTCAGCGTGGGAGGCCGAGGACGGTGGCGTTTGGGACGCGGGCGAATTCGCACACAATCAACACCAACAGCACGACCATCAGCAGCAGCAGCAGCATGCCGAGCAAGGCATGCACACACCAGATTTCTTCGCGGAACAGCAAAGCAAGCTGAACGCCGAAGTGGCCACAGCCGCCTCGATGCAGCCCATGAACTTGGGACCGCCTTGCCAGGAGACGCACGGCTCGCTGCACGAGATGAGGACTTGGGAGCTCACGCTGGCCTCAATGCCAAGCGCGCACGGGATGTACAGAATGGACGGACACTCGGAGCTGGTCGAGAGCGCCCTGTGGACGGAGGCGCCACTGGCAGAGGCGACCCCGACCGCGGCCCTGCTGAGCTGGAGCAGGGCAGGCGTGTACCCGCCTTTCTGCTGCTCCCAATGTCACGAGTCTCCAGAGTTCTGCATCCATCAAGCGGTTTGAGACCCGCGCCGCGCGCCGTTCTGCCCACGTGAAGGGCAGCGCGCCTTGGTGCGCCGTGGCACTGTCATATCGGCGTGGCAAAGCCGGTGGTGGTGGTGGTGATGTGTGTGTACAGGACAGCTTATAGCGATCAATCGGCGGCGTTCCAGCGGCAAGCACATTTTTGGGAGGGGAATGTTTAATTCAAAGTACATTTTTGCGCGTGTTCATTAGGGGGCCGTTATAACACGGCCCCGCATAGACACGCACAGCTACATTATTGTACGTGAACTGTAACATAAGCACAAAGTTGCGACCATTTTTATGGTAACGAAATTGCAACACAAAGCGCACAGTACAGAGTTATTCAAGAGCTCGTTTCGGTGCAATGAAATCCAACTTGCAGTGCATTGTAATGTCATCGGCGAACAATTTACATCAACATCTTCAACCACAGGTATGACCTGACGATACGAGAACTTCATGGAACTGCCTTGTCAAAGGTTGTATGCATCTGCTCTGAAGGAGGGACGTTGATGAATGTCAGTTTCCGCGACACGAAGCCGATCTAGACTGACCGATGAACATTGTAATACTGATCTAGCCGGGCTATGAAGCCCTGAAGTTTGTCACGACTTTTGAGTATTCTAAGTGTACACAGAATAATCCGAAAACAATGTGGGAATGTTGGTCTCCGCACTTGCAAGGGGTCGGGGGTAGAAATGTAACCACTTTAGTTTTGAGACCCGGCCTACGAAAGGTGCCTCGATTATTTCAAGAAATGCAGAGTTCAAATATCAATTAAAAATTAACGTTGATTCAATATTTGGACACTTTTTCGTGAGTAGAACGCTAAAAACGTAAAATAAAGGCAAATGTGGTAACTTGTTACGAGTAACTATCCCTCCGTTACCCAACACTACGATTGCCACCCTTGTCAAAGTGTTTTTCAACCGATGCGTTGTGTTTGCAATTCCGTTATCAATGTGCAATTACGTGTTTTTCTGATATTAATATTGTGGCAGCTATGGACTATGCCCAGTTAAACGATGTATCATCGGCATGTTATCTTACATCAAATACAGACGCACGCTGATGTTCAGAGTCCAGGCCGCAGGAAGACGTTTTGCTTTGTCAGGGCAAACAAATCAGCCAATTGTCATCACCTTTTTTTGTCTTAGCCACTGGCATAAGAAAACTAAAATTGATATTTAATGACAAAATGTTATATTCTTAGAGAGCGCACATTCATATATTATCTGTGTATTGTGAAGACTGTCGTGGAATATAATCTCTGCCACCTGGATCTATGACTGTCACAGAAAGATCCAATCGTTACAGTTGTGGAGGGAGTTCCCATAACATCATCGCTACGCTTGTTTACCCGGGCAAGGCTCACAGAGTCCCCGTGTGACTCACTTTCAGGAGAGTCCTGCCAAGTTTCGATTTAAAGCTTTCGTGACTGCAGGGATTCATCTTCTTGGTTCTTTCGGTAAAGTCACGTAGAATGGAAATGATAAATAATAAAAAGAAAACATAATAAAATAATTCTCACGACGTTTCGGCCACAACGCAAGTAGCCGTCCTCAGGTGGAGACCAGGTCTGTCGAGGAGACAGAGTCTGACTCTCGAGGAGACAGAGTCAGACTCTGTCTCCTCGACATACCTGTTCTCCACCTGAAGACGGCTACTTGCGTTGTGACCGAAACGTCGTGAGAATTATTTTATTATGTTTTCTTTTTATTATTTTATTATTTCCATTCTACGTGACTTTACCGAAAGAACCAAGAAGATGAAGTCCTGCCAAGCTGTCGCAGTAGCAGGCTATGCTCGCTCGTATCTATTCCAACTGAGTAATTTGCGGGTTATTATTCGCATGTAATCCTGATGACATCGAAAGTTAAATGATTTGGGTATGATACTGATTAATTAATATTTACATTATCACAAACTTAAAAACACACTGTGAATAAAAATATAGGCTGGTAACTGATACAGATGTATTATACGAACAGTGTAGCTGAATCAACTTAATATAACCGTGTTTGATAATGCCACTAAATTTGGTACTTTTCCATCAATCACGCAATAGAGACGCGGATACAGGAACTCAGCATACGTATACACTGTCCATTGCACGTGTTTTCTCTTGCCCACTCATAGCGTTGCACTCTCCAATGGTTGCGCCAACAGTACATCGAAAGCAATGGCAGAAGTTTCGTGTTGAAAGTATGCGCACATGATAATTGTTTTTTTACCCTTTTATCTGGCAACAAAACTGACACCTTTTTTTTTACAAGGAGTCATGTTTGCATTGACCACAATACCTGCGGTCGGAATGCAAACAAAAAACACAACTCTGATAATGTATGCACTGTCCTTGAAATTGATTGGTCCACATCCGAGACAGCTTTCCTTAGAGCCTAGTCTCACATGGTGTTGGACCAGATGACGCCAAAAGGCGCACAACTCAAAGACAATGCACCATCAGAGTATAAGAGCTCGGGGTAAGCATTTACACAATTGGAACCTCCTTTGCCAGTAGCAGAATATTATAATTGTATTTTTAGGTGTCAGTTTTCTTGCCAGATAAAAGGGTAAAAAAACAATTATCATATTTTGCTACTGGCAAAGGAGGTTCAAATGGTGTATGCGCACACTCCATATTGTGGAGCTGGCAAACGGGCTACAGCCGCGCTGTTACGACACTCAAACCAACTCCTACGGGGCTGTGCTGAGAAGACTTACGATGGCCATGATTAATCCTTGCGTGTTTTCATGACGTGAAATGAAGAATCACAAATGCCGATCTATGTTCTGTAAATCTACCGTGTGTGTATATGTTATGCGTGACGGCTCACTACAGTGTTGATAATCAACGAGAGGGAGCACCATCAATATCACAAGATTCTTTTCCCGGGCCTCGGACACGTGGCCTAGACGTACGAGGCAATCGCTGCACGTGAGGGAATAATGATTGAGCTTATGTGTGTTTGTCTACTTAATCGACATAGTCAAAATTGACTGCATCATAATAAAGAGAGTGGGGAGCTCCTAGTCACGAGTCAATAACAGAGACCGCCAATTACATCGTGTTGTAACTATACACCCCTGTGTAAAAAAATTAATAACCGGCCGTTAGTACACGCAGAGCATCACGTTTCACCTGATGCTTGCATTATCTTGGGAGAGGGTTATACGTGTGACTTTAGGTGTTATACTACAAGCCAAGTAGATAAATGCATGGACTTAAAAAATGCCTTGTGCTTCTCAATCAAACTTTGTTCATCGTTAACCTTTAAATTTTTTTAGCGCGGACTATTTTGTTACATTTTACAAGGTAAATTTTCTTGCACTTTGTATGTTTTTTTTTTAAGTTTACAGCGGTGCTGTTTTAAATTAATTTGAGGATACGCCATTCGTAACACTGTAAAGCTTTTGTTTTCCTGTACGCTTGACCGTCTAGCACAATTATACGCTTTGTTGTGAATGCGTTCTCTCGTTTTGCAATACACGTCTTCACACAAGAGACAAGTAAATACATAAGAGCACACTACAACGTACACAGTATGTACGCGAGGAGTAATATCTTGAAAATTAGCGAGTGGACCGCGAGCTCGCAATTTGGATTGCGTGCATCACGCGGACGGCGTGGTTTGGTTTTTGCTGTAAATAAATACATTGGAAAAATGCTCGTATTGAGCCTTGTGTCTGTACATGTGCGTTACGTTACAATTGTCGATGTTCACCTATCATTCGCATTTCAGCACCACGGAGAGCGACCTTGGCGAAAATCATTGCACTCACCTTGACATGCATTCAATCTCGATTTAAAGCTTTCGTGACTGCAGGGATTCATCTTCTTGGTTTTTTCGGTAAAGTCACGTAGAAGGAAAATAATAAAATAATAAAAATAAAACATAATAAAATAATTCTCACGACGTTTCGGCCACAACGCAAGCAGCCGTCTTCAGGTGGAGAACAAGTCTGTCGAGAAGGCAGACTCTGCAGCCGTCTTCAGGTGGAGAACAGGTCTGTCGAGAAGGCAGACTCTGCAGCCGTCTTCAGGTGGAGAACAAGTCTGTCGAGAAGGCAGACTCTGCAGCCGTCTTCAGGTGGAGAACAGGTCTGTCGAGAAGGCAGACTCTGCAGCCGTCTTCAGGTGGAGAACAGGTCTGTCGAGAAGGCAGAGTCTGCAGAGTCTGCCTTCTCGACAGACCTGGTTTTCACCTGAGGACGGCTGCTTGCGTTATGGCCGAAACGTCGTGAGAATTATTTTATTACGTTTTATTTTTATTATTTTATTATTTTCCTTCTACGTGACTTTACCGAAAGAACCAAGAAGATGCATTCACTCATTCATATACCCGCGTAATGAGTTGACAGGTTTCATTGAGGAATTTTTAACTTCTACTGCTTCCATTAATAGACGCTGCTCATTTTAAATTTCACGACGCACGCCCGCCAACGCAGCTGTTCGTGACATGGCTGGTGGCTTGCGCTGAGATCACGTGCGCGACAATTTCACTTGCAGCAGCTTCGCGGTGCCAGCAGGGGGCAGAACAGAAACATCGATTTGATCACCTGTTCATAGAAATGATCTTATTGTGTGCTAAGCACGGTTGTTCTGGGTGACCTGAATTCGGCCCACACGCGAAACACTAAAACTGATTTGTATTGATTTAATTAACAGCACAGTCACACCATTAATTAACAGGAACAAGTCATTTGAAACCCTATAACAACTAATTGATTCATCGATTATAATCTGATCGTACACTCGCGATACATGCAATGCGTCACATGTGTAAGGAGCTATGTTTTTCCACACGTGTAGAATATATAGACATGCTGCGTGTCGGCTAATTAAACACACGACGCTACAGAGAGAGAAAGAGTAGAGATACTAACGAGACAGTACAACATTTATCGATATGGAATTCTGATACCAAACCATAAAACCTGTATATTATAGTGGGGGGATTGGATTTTGATGTGCCTCGTAATTACCATAGATGACGTAACTGTGCTGTAGACCTCCAACGTGCTGTCGGTGTATGCCGACACCACGAAATACGATATTTTATATAGCTATTTTTTTTTATTTAACCAGGCCCAATGAGCTATATAGCTCTTTTTCAGAAGTGACTTGGCCACAAATGAAAGCTCAACGAAGTGGCTGATCACGTGGACATTTATTGCAGCCAAATACTCTAAACGCGTGTTGATTCTGAATGTGGAGGGAAAACCCAGAGAACCCGGAGAAAAATCCACGCCATCACGGGGAGAGACACGCAAACTCCAAATATACAGCAGGCGCGCCAGGCTCGGGATCGAACCCACAACCTTCTGTACACCAGGCGAGGTAGTTAACATCTCCTAGCCACCGTGATGATGATGAGAGATAGGGACACGCAAACTCCAAATATACAGCAGGCGTCAGGGTCGGGATCAAACCCACAGTTTCCTGTATATCATGCGAGGTAGTTAACATCTCCTCGCCACCGTGACGATGATGATGAGCGAGAGAGAGACGCAAACTCCTAATATACAGCAGGCGCCAGGCTCGGGATCGAACCCACGACCTTCTGTGCATCAGGCGAGGGAAATAACATCTCCTAACCACCGTGATAATGAAGATGAGAGAGAAAGACACGTAAACTCCAAATATACAGCAAGCGCCAGGCTCGGGATCGAACCCACGAACCTTCTGTACACCAGGCGAGGTAGTTAACATCTCGCCATCGCGCCGTCGGGGCATTGTAGCGTTATAATTGCCAGTCATCTGACAGGAGCAAGTGAGGCTAGTGAGGCTACAGTAATGTATGTATGCGCTACAGTCATTTATACGCTACAGTAATTTTGCTGGAGCAGTCACACCTGATGACGGATGTTTGTGTTGCTTCCGAAACGTCGTGATTTAATTTAGTTGTTTTCATTTTTATTTTTTATTTTGTTTTCATCTACGTGACTTTACCGAAAAAAACAATGAGTGAGGCTTCGTCCACGGACAAGCGACGTTGCCTCGCGGCCACAAGGTGGCGACCAAACACGGGGCAGGAATCAACAATCCTCGACTGAAGAATGGCTCTGCGGATCGATGGAACTAAAACTCTCAGCTCGTGAGCGTCATGCGTGCTTCATATTTTGTGATTTTATTTATAGTAGGATTATATTATTTTTTACTTTATTGCTACAAAAGGATGGATATGGGATTCAGTAGCAACGCTTTCAACTGCAAACAAGCACTGAAAGCAGAATCAAAATGTATTTTATTTAAAGTACTTTAAAGTACTGTTAAGGTGTCTAAATATTTAATTGCAAATGTAATGTCCCTCTATGCTCCCAAGTCTATGCTTCCTGACCTCATCAACCCGCGCTGACCAGTGAAGTATGGTCAACGGTTGGCTACGTGCGGTGCAAATGAAGTTAAACATACATACTACCTTACTCTTTGGGTTTTTTTCGGTAAAGTCACGTAGGTT